TTCCAGCTTTGTTATCAAACACAGGTCTGAATACCACTTCATAGGCAGGAGCCGACATGGAGGATCCACAGCAGGCCTCGCAGCAATTATACCAACATACAGGAAAATAAAGTTGCTGAAACCGGGGACCAGCAGTCTGGGACAGCCATTGTGACCATTACCTCATGCATGCTTGAAGTCTTTTTTGTTAGGAACTGTCTCACCACCTTAACCACATCAGAAGTGAGTAATTCCTTCTTTTTTTCTCTTCTTTGATACTGAGTATTTGCTTGCCTAACACAGCGCCTCTGTCCAATATCAGTGACTCTTTGTGACCATCACTAACGGTCACTAGATTCTCATCTACATCAATCAACACAGGGCTATATCAGGGAGGACTTGTTTGTCATTTTAATTGATTTTAGATGTTCTTTGTCAGTAGGTGTATTTATATGTTTTTCTACTTTGTTATTAATTCTCATTAAAATTTGTTACATTATCATTACCTGTTTGATTATTATAGACAGCTCCTATTTTGGGATTCCGTATTTTCGGGGAACTTTGCTTATTATAGATTGACGCTGGAACCCAGGAGTTTTTTGTCCACTTTATTGTTATTTGAGGCGCTTCTCCTTTTCCCATTTGTTATTATTAAGACTCAAAATGGCTGCTCAGTTTAAAGAGCCATTTTGTTCTTTTTTCATCAATATTATTTTTGTTACAAATAATCTAGCTAATTATAATTGGCTATTTTCAATCATAAATTAAAAGCAGATTGTTCTAAGTAAGCCTGGGTTAGGTTATGAATTTTAGGAAAGAGAAATGTAAGCAGAGTTAAAAGGCTGAGTGATTCAGAGCCTGTTCTCTAGTACAGTAAGTGTTTACTCCACTGTAGACTTTATTCAATGGCAAAAGCTTTGAGGAGGAACCTTAAAGCTTAGCCGCAGTTCTGCCAATACGTGTTATGAGCATATCTTTAATGTGGAGTCAAACGTGCTGCGGGAAGCTAAACTGTAATTTTCTTTATTTTTTTCTTCTTTTATTTTTGAAACTCTTATCTAAAGTGACAGCTTCTTGTAGTACAACGTCTCCTGCTGGGAGAGTTAAGTTGAAGTATCTGAACGTCTTTCACTGAAATATCAACTCCTGGCCAGTAAAAAGATGCCCAAAATCACGGGAGATGGAGTTAAACGGGTCCCCTACCTTGGACGCAATGGTTCCTTTCATCAGAAAGAACAAACCCCCAGGTTACCCTATTGAGGCTGAGAAACTAGTACAGTAGTTCTACAATTTTTGATCTGTGGCATCACGATGTGAAGCCTCAACAATTAGATGTAAAGGGTCCATTCATGAGGAATAACATTAGTTTGACCCTTTGTGTTAGCTCCTACTGGTAATCTTTCCATAAGCGTTGAACTTACTTTCAATTTGAAAAAGATGAAAAAGTCTTTTGCAAACCCCCAATACTGTTTTCATATCTATCAACTGTATCTGAGCAGAAAAAAGTAGCCTTACCTCGTTTTTTTCTACCACGAGCCAAGCCACTTGCAATCCTTCAAGTCCTTTAAAAGGAACCTCCCTTGTTAGCATTTCCCACAAAACCTAGAAACAGCACAAATATTATTTGACAAAGCTAAAAATGAGATTTTACAGCTTGTATAAATATGTGATGTTTAAAATTTACTCATTCATAGCAACAATATCTTATGTGCTACTGCCTTTGCAGTTTAACTTGCCTTGCCAAAGAAAGTTTTAGGCTTATATACACCCTTTTTTGATTACAAAAAAAAGACTGGTACACTGGTTTAATATGATGCATTTGATATATACAGTATATACCCTGTATATACATTATATATACATATTTATAACATTTTTGACTATTTATATATAAATATGGCATAATACTGCATATAAAAATGCTTAAAGCAAGGAACTTTACTTAGTTACCAATCTTTTCAAAACTAATCACATTTTTAAACTAGTGATGATGATAAAAAACGTTTTAAAAGATAAACCAAAGTTGTCAACACTTATAATGATCTGCCTGATCTGTAAACAATGTGGCGTAATAGAACAGAGCAATAGAATTTAGAAATGTAATGGGCATCAAAATAAAAAGATAATTCTGACAACATGTCAGCTGTAAAGATAGTCTAAATCTTTTTTTTTTAATGGCATCATTAAAAATAATTATTTTCCATAACTTGTAGAACTTTGTCTTTTAAATTGCCTGCAGAGAACTAAAAGAGTCTTCCTGTGTATTTGTAAAGTTTTATATTTATTTTAATCACATATCAAACATTAAGAGAAAACAAATAGTCATTATCAGAAATAAAATAATCTGGAATGCAATAAAATGACATCAATCATAAAACACTTAGACAATGAAAATTAAAAAAAAACATCTATATTCACAAGCATTAGCCCTTTATTTAGCATCAGTGCTCATGTTCTGCAAAATGTATAGCTGACTGTGAAAAAAAATCGAGATGTTCAGTAGCCAAAAAAAAGAAAAGAAAAGAAAGATGAAAAAAAAATGTGTTGATTAAATAAATAATTTTTCTTCTCCAAAATGTTTCAACACCATCAAGTGTTTTTGCTAATTACTTTTAGAGAAGCATATGACATATGGCATGATGAATATGGCATAAACAAATGTGATTTTTTAAAAGTGATTTCTATGAATATAGTTATATTTATTGAATAAGTCAAGGTAATGCTATATCTGTGGCATAACAGCCCTTGATGGGCACTGGCCTTTGACACAATTGTAGCCCACTCCACTCTATTCATTGCTTTTAATCTCCATCCTTTTATTCCCAGCTCTCTTAGCTCCTCCCTATCACTAATCCATTTCATCTATGGTCTTCCCCTCTTCATTCTTCCTCCTAGTTTTCCCTCAAAAACCTTCTGGAGGATTATTTTTCTCCTCCTTATCACATGACGAAGCTAAGACACAGGCTTCTTATATCAGCTCTTGTGTTGGAATTATGATTATTTATTTATTTGATGTTTCATCCTTAAATGATCAACCATCAGTTATAAAACCCTTTCTTTCCATATGTTTTAGTTGGTCGACTTCTGCTTTTATTATTATCCGGGTTTCTTCTGCATATGTAACAGTTTTGAGAATAATTCTATAATAATTCTATAAATTTGAATTCTAGATTCTAGATGTCTTTGGTGAATAATAACACATCTCTTGCAGCTACTCTTGCTTTTATTTCCTGGAACACATTGTGGTCTTCATTTATTGTGGAGCCCAGGTAGCAGAATGATGTTACTCTTTCATATTTTTCTCTCCTCCACATATTTCCTATATGTTGCTTTTCCTAGTCATGATTATGTACTTAGTCTTCCCTAAATTTCCCTCCACTCCAGCTTCCATAGATTCTTGCACTAGCTTGTTCATCTTTTCACTTTGTGTATTATGTAGGTATTTCTTATTTTATGTATGCTTGGCATTTACATATTTCTTGTCTCAGATAACTAAGACCTTTCTATTTTATCCAATCTCCTGCCTTCTTTTTCCTCAAATTAAAATTTCAATATGCCCACAGTTGTTCGAGTCTAAGATGCTTAGAATGGAAAAACCGCCAAATCAGTAACAAACACAGACCTTTTAAACTAGAATCAGAGAAGTTAAGCTCACAAAACTTAATTTGGCCCGAAAGCACAATATAACAAGGCAACCATGAAGCATCTATGACACTCCTAGATACTAGCTAAGGAAAATGGCCTCATACTATTGTGTAAAGCCTGTTTTTTCTTCTTTGGATTCGCACAGGAACTTCTCTTGGGGTAAGGACTATTTATTGTTATCGCCTAATCCTATTTGTTATGTTCAAACATATAAGTGGGCAAACATTTTGTTTCGTTTTGGATTTTTCGTTTTGGGTTTCGGGTCCTAACGCCATTTGGTTTCATTATTCAGATCTTTGGGAATTTTTGCTTTAGTTTCTAACAAGGTTTTGTGCCAGAAAACAGTCACATGTCTAGTTATCTTTTTAAAACACCCTAAACTGTTTTTATTTTGATTTCTTGGTCTACTCAGTCACTCTTTTTTCATTCTCCTTTTCTATATTTTTTCCTCAGTTTCATACTTTGTCCTTTTGGCCTACGTTTAAAGGTTTAGTGTCCAATCAACTTTTTATCCTAGTAAGTAGCAAAAGATGACTATTCCAGACGTTAACTGGCAATAAGTTCCCTTTTTATTTGCACAAGAAACATTCATAGCTAGAAGGAGATACTTCCACCGATTACAGTTTATTTATAACAGATTGTTTTGTTACTTTTGCTGACTAATGTTTATGTAGGAATACTAGTCTTGTAACAAATGTCAATACAAATGGAAATTTATTGATGACATTACACCAAGGGTGTCAGCTGATACCATGTTTTCATACTAAGTTAAAGCAAATAAAAACAACACTATAAAAAGAAATATTATCTCCGTTTCAGTACACTACTGATTGATAAACATTCTGTCAGGGTGCCAGGCATTCAAAGTACAAATAAAAATGAGACCAAAAAAGTGTAAATTTATTGTACTCTGTGAAGTGCTATTGTAGGACAAATATCCATAGATCCTGTAGCACTCCTTACCAGAAATCCCAAGACAGTAATGGGTGCTTGAAATGACCGCGGATGGCGCCGCACATGGAACAACTTCAAATACAGATGTCACCAGCACACAAAGACTCTCATGTCAGTGCACTGACTTGAGAGTCTTGTGTGCTGGTGTGCTGGCGACATCTGTATTTGGTGCTATTGTAGGAATCGCCACACATAAGGTCCCTTGGCATGGGTGGTTCGCTAACATATTTTGGCCAAAATACAAACTAATACCTTGAAATTTTGTGTGTTTTGATCTTTTAGGGGGCATGTGAAAAGATGTGTTTCAAATCCATAACAGGATGTCAGCTTAAAGTGACACTAAACTCAGGAGTTAAATCTTAAAAATGCATTCATATACCTTAATTATTAATATAAATGTAACTTATTTGTGTATCCCTCGGCTGTAGATCCTCAAATCCTCTCTGAATTCATGCTGACACTGTCCTTCCTACTGGAGGGTGGCTACTGTTCTTCCCCATGGTCGCTGTGTGTTGTAAGGTAGCCAACACTCCAAGCTCACTCCTGTGATGGACTACAATCTCATTACAAATGAGTAAACTAAACTTGAGATTGCAGTCAATCACGGGAGTGAGCTTGGAGTGGTGGCTACTTTACAACACACACAGGGACCATTGGGGACAAAAGTAGCCACATAAGCTACATTTATGTTAATAATTAAGGTACTTGAATGTCCTTTTAAGATTTAACTCCAGAGTTTAGTGTCACTTTAATAAATAGCATGGGTGGCAATAAGAGGCTGGTTACAAGAATTGTGCATCCTCAACTGAATTCCATGTTTTGTTTTTAATTTTTGAATGCTCTGTATAGATACATTCCATTTTGTGTCTTCAAAAGAAAAGTATAGGATATTTTCAGTGTGCATATTCGAAGTTATTATTGCAGTCTTTACCCAATTTCATTTTTTACATGTTTTTGTACAATTAAAATTGTATTGTTTTGTATTAAATCTAGAAAATCATAGATTAGCTGCTACAGGCAGGATAAATTAGCCACTACATTGATTCTGCTCTACTGTAAAGACTGACAGTTACACAAGGAGTGCATTTTTTCCAATCATATGGCTCACTCTTGCTTTGTGACAAGGAGCAGTAAAGCACAATAATTGTGTGGTACTTCAATATACAGGTAGTATAAGCAAATATGACTGCCTCCCTGTATATGTATATAAACTATATACACACACAAGGTTTTTTTAAACACGAAACACACATTGATAAGATTATTTACGTCAGGACGATCTATTTAACATATTGTTCTATCCGAGAAACATAAAAAAATTGGGCAGTAACAGAAAATATTGTGGTTAACATAAAGTACAAAATTTTTCAGTCTGTTCAAAATAAATGTGTACAGTTGGTTAAAAAGTCTTCTTCATTAATCAGGTGTCTGGTAGTGATGGATTTCAAGAGGCTGTAGAAAATAGTTTGGTAACCAGGCAACTTAATAAGGTAACTTACCACCCCATATGAGTAAGTATCACATGTCTCAGACACAGGAAGACTTTGAATAACCTCTGGAGCCATCCACGGAAAAGTCCCTACAAGGGACATATGAGTTGTATGGGAATGGAACCTTGAAGCACCAAAATCACATATCTAGAAAAAACAATTACATATTTTAGGAAAAAAAAAAGCTGTCAATGGGATGCACATTCTCAAAATGATATCGTAAAAAAAAAAAAAAAGACTCCTTACCTTTAATATTCCATCCATGGTTATGACAACTAGAAACAAGAAGACAGGACAATCTTTAAAAATAGTACATATACTACTTCTATAACTAATACTGTTTTCAGCCCTTGCCAAAGTCAACTCTGTCCCTTGAAAAAAAGGGAGGACTCTCCATGAACTAGAGAGGTAAGTACCAAGATTCTTCTTTGGAAGGCACCTTTTTTTTTTCAAGTGACAGAATCCTATTCATTTTCTTTAAAATTGTCCTAAAAAGACATAAAGAAGAAACAGGAGCATAGAATTTTTACTCTGCATATTTATGAATTAGTTGTTGGCTTGGTAAGAGTTAAGAGTAAGAGGCCAGCCTTTCGCCCCCCAAATGAGAGCTGGGCGCAGCCAGCAATGATCTCACAGCTGACTTCGCCCAGTTGAAATGACAGATCGGCGTCCCCAAATGACCTGGGGACGCTGAACTGTCATTACACAATAACAACTGGGCGGGGCCGGACGTGACAGCCGATGTAGGCTGATTTCACTCCTAAGTCAAATTCAGGTACTTACTCTAGCAGAATTTCAAAAATATTTTTTACATTAATGAATACCTAACTGCATTAACCCCTTCATGACTGAGCTTGTTTTTGGTTTCTGTGCGTAAATGACTGACACACTTTTGACATTTTTCCTGTGTGATTCTTCCACGTCAGTAATATACTTTCTTACAAAGTGCACCCACACATATTATATATTGTTTTTTAGAGGACAGATAGGGCTATATATTTATATCACATATGTGTGTCTAACGCCTCACTTAGGACAAATACAAATTAAAAAAAGAGGAAAAAACGTAAAAAAAAACTTTTTTTCCCAGTTTTGATTTGTAGTATTTTTTTTTAACAAAACCAGCACAGCTAAAAAAAAATGCAATACATACATTCATTTATTTGTCCCTTATTTTTAATTTTTTTACACTTTTCACTATTTTTTTTAATTTATTTACACTTTTCACTTTTTTTATACTGACAAATTTTATTTATTTAATTATATCAGGCAGTCATTGTGAATTAATCTCACTATTACTGCTTGATAAATTAATACATTTTTTTTATTATCAGGCTGCTTCAAACTTCAGAACAGCCGATAATAAGTTAGTGACACTGATCCTGCAGCAGTTCAGGATTCAGCTGTCAGTGAATGTTTCAGAAAACTTAAACATTCTACTTTCAAGAATAGATACATTATGTGTCTAATACATAACATTTTGTATCTATTCTTGAAAGTCAAAAGATTAAAAAAAAAAAAGCCAGTATAGCTTGAGAGAGATATCTCTAGATCTATACGAGCTGTCAGAATGCCGGCAAAAGCCGACATGTGTGTCTGCTTTGCTGTGACTCTCAGACACCCGATATTAAGGTATCGGGTGTCTGAAAAAGGTTAACCCTTTCAGTAATGGATCTCTAGATAGTTAGACATCTATTACTGAAAGGTAACCGCTGATTCTCAGCGGTTAGCAGCCTTCTAGTGCAGCAAATAACTCGTCACGTACAGTGTACGTGACGAGTCATTTGGTCCCTTTGTGGCTGGACGTACAGTGTACGTCTCCCGTCACGAAGGGGTTAAATCTGACTGGAGATCATCTTTGATAGCTCTCATGCACATGGGCTCGCGGGCGCCATACACATCAAATTCAGGCATATTTCCCTGCTCAGCAAATCATGAGTGCTGTGTACAGCCACCCATAGACATTAGGGCTGCACATGGTAGCACAACAGGTATACGCTGACACTTTCATAAACTCGCGCAGGCATATGAATGTACACATAGAATCACAATTTATAAAATTCTTCAATATATTTTTATACTTTACCATTTCTAGACTTGAGATCTCTGTGTATTACACGGATTGGAGCCTCCATGTGTAAATAATGCATTCCTGTTAGTAGAAAGAAAAGGAAAGTGTGATTTTAAAGTATTTTACTTCTGCATGTAAAATGTCATTACAAATACTCAGAAATATATCTTGCCATCAAGTAAACTGATACCACTTTGGCAAAGGCTCTTTATATGCATCATAAGAACAACAAGATGAGAAAGTAATTATAAACCAGGGGTAGGCAACCTCGGCAATCCTCTATCAGCCACAAGCATGGGTCCCATAGAGGTGGGATTTGTAGTTTCAGCACACTGTTACCAGGAAGTTTGAACTTGGCCCCACTCCTTCTTGTGCTATGAGCCTATTGGTAATTTAATATGGTGGCTGGCCTTGTTGACAAATAGGGGAGGAGTAGTCAACCAGTCTTTGTGCAGCACTACCAAACAGGAGAAACACCTGATATGTAATGAGCAAACATGACCGCCCCATGTCCATACAAACTTACTACACACAGAAAAAAGGCACTCAATATAGGTACAGGGCTATTTGGAAAAAATGCAAATTGTTAAAGCATTATTAACAAAACACTTACACCTTCAAATAAGAATCGGCAATAGCAGCTCCCATTTTTTTCCCACCTGACAAATTCCTTTTACAGGCCAACTACAGGCAGTTGTATTTTAAATAGTTTTTTGACAGGGCAAAAAAAAAGCAGATAAGGCTGCAAACATCACCTTCTTTTTGGCACAGCAGTAATTCCTTTTCGGCCTCTACATGTCCTCACTCTTTCGCTGAGCTTCATTAAGCCTGGAGGACTGAGGACATCTTGTGAGTACAGGGTATCATGGAGGGGGTGTCACTACGGCATTCTGTATTCACGTGTAACGATGCAGTGATGTCATCATAACAGTGCCAGTCTGCTAAGGACAACCTTATAAAAATGCTATTGTCTAGCTGTGTCTGAATTCAGTACTTTCTACATCCCTGACCTAGAATAACTCCTGGGATGTGACTTTGAAGAAAATGATCATAATGATAGCCATGGAGCTATTTTATTTTCAAAAGGACAGGACACCAAGACAGCCTAACTGGCTTCAACAAGCAAGCACAACAATACATAACTGACAAATGCCCAATGGGGAAGCCTGCCCTATGTATGCTGGTAAGCAATAGTCCTCTATTAACCACTTGCCACCAGCATAACACATAAATGTTTGCTTTCTTCCATGGCATTACATATATCCAGGTGTTTGTGCTAGGAGCATGCTCAATCTCTACAGTTCCTGGTTCCAAACTAATGCCTGGGAGTCAGGAGGACCGGCTCCAAATCATGTGATCACTGTGAATTCCAATCAGAATGATCACTGTGAATGGAATCCTCCCCTGTACTGTTTCTCTTCTGTAATGAGAAAAACATACGGTACATTGTATTCTTTTTTTCCTCAATAGAGGAGCAGTTCAAAGCTAACAAAAATATGTGCAGAAAACTGGGTGAAACATGAGCTGGACAGGCAATTTTCTGTTATTGAAGGTTTGTGTACTGCCCACCTTGAGGAATCTACCAGTAGTGAAATGGAGTCCTGGAGGGACTGCGAATGCTCTTAACAAACCTTTGTCCTGATGATCCGAGGTTGTGGTACTCTAGCCCCCTAACAATGGAAGCTAACATGTGAAAATGTTTTGATCACTAACCTGTTTCCTTCTCTGTATATTTTACTTTTAATGTCCATTTGGTATATGATTCAATATTTTGTAAATCCTATACTGCTTGTATGAAAATAAAAAAAAAGTTAATTAAAAAAAAAAAAAAAGCTAACAAAAAAATGTTTTTACCCTAGACTTAAGTAAGCAGTTAATCCTTGCAGTGCGTGGACAGCCACTGCCAGGGGAGTCCTGTTTTATTATTATTATTACATAGTATTTATAGAACGCCAACAGTTTGTGCAGCGCTTTACAATGTAAGGAAGACATTACAATTACAATACAATTCAAGACAAGATGGTAAGGAGGGCCCTGCCCCTGAGGGCTTACAGTCTAAAAGAGGAGGGGGAAATTATACATGAGGAGGTAGCTGTGAGGGGATGAATTATTTGAGAATGTGATGGTTCAGTGGTTAGGTTCAGGTGGGGAAGGCTTCCCTGAAGAGAGGAGTCTTTAGGGAACGCCTAAAGACAGTCAAGGTGGGAGATGGTTGGACAGGTTGGGGTAAAGAGTTCCAGAGGATGGGAGAGACTCTAGAGAAGTCCTGGAGGCGATTATGGGAGGAGTTGACTATGGAGCTGGAAAGACGGAGGTCTAGGGAAGAGCGGAGTGGACGGTTAGGGTGATATTTTGAGACAAGGTATATCTTTTTTTTTTTTTGAGACAAGGTAAGATATTTTGAGACTGTTTTTCTCCAAGAGATAGGCTTTAAGTCCCTGTTCATACTTTGGCGTTGTGTGAATGCATGCTAAACGCACACATTCACGCAACGCTTTTGTGGTGCCATTACTTGTTTCCTCCACCTCAAGTGCACACAAAAACGCGGGGAGAAATCTGACATGCTTGCAGGTGAAAAGCTACTTTCCTGTGTTTTTCACGCATGTGCAGCCACTTCATTCAATGGGCTCACTTGTGGCAAACGCGGGGAAAACATGCACCAAGGCACGTTCACAATTGTGAACGGGGTCTAAAGCTCAACTACAGCTTCAGGAGGGGGGATATGTTGAAAATATAATTAAATATAAAGTGTCCTTGTTACACAGTCTATAAGACATAAAGATACAGAACAATAAAAACTGGTCCATTTATGTGTTTGTGTTGTAAACGCAAAGAGTCTTGATAGAGACAGTAAAAAATAGCTCAAACATTTTTTTTTCTCCAGGAAAGAGAGGAAGAACAAGTCTTTCATATGTTTGTTTTAGAGAAAGTCACACAGAGGTTAGGACCGTAAAATGAGCTGATTTATTGGCACGTTCCTAGACTTTAGAACAGGAGCAGCTTCCCTACTTTCAAATGTGGACTACAAAGGGCTCTGAGCAAAAACAATGACCTATGTGATTAGATATGTGCACAAGACAATATGTAAAAAACGCTGTTTCATTTTGAAAATATCAATTACATAAATAATTTACTACTATAATAATAAAATTATGGCAGCTTTGGTGTACGTGCACACAGAGAATCCAAATGTTTGTGTGCTGTTTGTACTCTCCCTACAGGGTTATATCTTAGTTATCAACTTCCTATAGGGTTACAGGAAATGAGTTATGTTAGTGTTTGCTGCAGGGAGCCCAAGGTTTGTAGATTCTAAATGCAAGGCTACTAAATGCAATACTTTTCTATAAGTACAAGGAAGTTGTTTCTGTGCAAAGAAGGTGGCAAAGAAACACAGAGGAGGCAATGACTGCAAGACTAGATGAAGGGCTACAGGATGAAGAATGGAAGGTAGCTTAAGTCCTGTCTGTAGCTCCCAGTGTGCATTCCCATAGGAACACCCACAAATTGGGCTTCAGCTATTTTTTCCTAGATTGTTCACTTCTCCTGCCTGCTCCAAACTCTTCTCCCTTTTTGTGAAAAACTTTGTAAAGTATTTACATGTTCCAAACAAGCATTAGAAGTACTTTAAGGCAAACTCACAAAAAGTTCCAAAATAGGCAGCAAAATACTAGCTTTTTTATCCCAAGAATATACCTTGGCAGGCTAACAACCTTCTAATATGAACTACAGCAATTGATTTTTGAGGCTAATAAAACATAAATATTAGAAAGGTCAAAAGGTAGAAAGGTCAAGAATGGCTTGTTCTAAAGCTCTTTTACTGCCTGGTAATATTTAAAAAGTGTAATGCCTGAAATTTGGGCACAGATGCACTTTACCTCTAACCCTAACCGTAACCTGAAAAGACCCATAAAGGATAAGTTCACCTTTTGCAAAAATTTAAGAAATGCATGATTAATAATATATTTAAAAAATATGCATTTCTTTATTATTTGCATTCAAGCCTGGAAAGTATTGTAATCATGATCACTCAATCACAGCTGCAAAGCTTAACATCCTGCATCTACCTCCCTCTAGGTAGATGCAGGAATATGGGCAGCTCTACCTAGAGGGAGGATGGCTGGACGCTGTATGAGGTGATTTAATGCAGTTTGAAGTCCAGCCGTCCTTCCTAACTGAAACTCCCTACCTCAGTGCGAGCTCTGCCTGGGAGAGAATGTGCAGAAGCCTGAACTTTGCAGCTGTGATCGAGTGATCATGATTGCAATACTTTCCAGGCTTGAATGCAAATATTAAACTAATTGATTTTTTAATATATTATTAATTATGCATTTCTTTAATTTTTGCAACAGGTGAACTTATCCTTTAAACCTTAACTACACCCTTATCCCTCACGTTAACTTGAAGTATAAATAAAGGCAAAACTCTTTTATATATTTGGATTGGGGTTAAAGTCCCTGTCAAGGTTTTATTGCTGCCTATATTCCTGTGTCACCAAAGTCACCGGGAATAAAAGTTATGTTACATACAAAATTTTGAGTTGCCACCAGAACAGGAATAAAGGGGAAATCTTACAATGGGGACAATTGTTGCAATCTAAGAGAGGATTGTGGTCAGTATTTTTCATAGCATTGAGCTGTGTAAACCATAAAGTAGAAAATGTTGCACCCATGGTCCAATTTGGAGTGTATTTTGCGCAGTATGCATGTAATGCTCACATAGACATTTACATAAGTAAAGAGTAAATGTCGCTGCTGCCTAGTATCATTCATTTAAAATGACTGGGAGCCGAGCTCATTCTGCACATGTGTTGTGACACCAGGCAGTGCCGGTGCAGAATGACCTCAGGCTGCAGTTATTTTGAGCTAATGACTTTACGCAACTTATCTCTACGGACATTCACGTGTAAACATTTTGCACTATGGACCATTTTTTTTACGCTGGAACTTTTGGCTAGCTTAAATCCTGCTTACATTTCAATACCGTGTGCATGGGTTCTAATGAGACACAGATGGCAAGGAAAAGAACTGACAGCTGTTTTAACTTTGCACTACTCTATCCAAAAGTTTTAAAAATATATACATTTTATACTGTCCAATGATGATAACGTGCAGTGGCGTAACAATCGCCATAGCGACCTGGGTCGCTATGGCATCTTATGCTGGTGGCTTTCACTGGCAGCTGTGAAGAAAAATGCGCTCCTTTTCAGATCACTGACAGTGATCTGTGCAGCAGCGCGTTCTTCTCACAGCCGCTGCTGAGTTAACGAGCCAGCAGCGGTGGTGGAGCAGGCTGGACCCGGCAGTGGAGGAGGCGGGGCCTGTGGTCGGCAGCAAAGAAGGCAGGGCCCGGTGATGGAGAAGGAGGACCCTGATAACGTGCATTTAAACCAAAAGAAAGGTGCCATGTAGTGACAGAGGGGAGTTTTTGTGGGAGACACCATTGTGGTAAAATACCTTTTTTCTTTTTAAATGCTGCTACGCATTATTTTTTGTTATATTAAACCAGAAATCCTGCTTCAACCCCTAAAAGCATGGACCAATGTGGTCACCAGAACTATCAGCACCAACACTCACAGACCTGTACAGAGATTTCACCTGAACTGAGATCTTCAAAATGAAATACTTCAATATACAGAAAGTGTACTAGTCAGTATAATAAAGTAGCATTTAGAGTCAAAATAAGATGCAAAGAATTAGCATATAGAATGTCTGGTGGTTATCCCTGAATCTGAAACATCATACTGCGATAAGTCAGACATGTTTCTTTAATTTGGTACCAACAATGGTGACTTTACTTTTAGTTAGCGGAGGAATGAGGTTAAAAATGATTATTTAATTCTAGCAGCATGGGATAGATGGCAGGATGGATTGGAATGACATTCTCTCTTTCATTCTAGGAAAATTAAAGGAAGAATTTGGTTGGTTGCAACAGACATCAAAAATTACTTACTACAATTAAGTCCATTATTTATCAACTGCCTCCGCACTCCACTGACTTCCTGCTACTTCAGTATCTAAGGTGAATGTTTTATGTCCAACACAAATATGCAGATTCCATCTTACCTTTGGCTACATCTGTGGCCCAGGCCATTATATGTTCCATGTCCATGTCTTCACTCCTATTGCTATTAATGTAGTCATACAGTGATCCACAGGCAGCATATTCTGTAATATGTAAAAACAAACATTCATAATATAAGTATATTTCCAATAAGAAGAAACGTATATGCAACACTTTCCCAAACCAAACAATCATGTGGATGTGTCCCAACCAGGCCTCGTTTGCCACAAGGGGCTGGAGGCACACTCGTGGTGCCCTAAAGAGAAGTAAAACATTTTTTTTTACAGGTTTGTATATGTAAAAAATATCTCAGTGCAAGCATGGGAATTTGTTGATACATAGTGGTGAATGTTATTTATTAGCTACTGATGAATGTAAAATGCCTTCAGTTTAGTACTATAATGATCCTTTAAAGGCCGTCACTGACATTTAGTTGGGAACCAGGTGCTTGGATTACCTGCCAGTTTCTTCTCAGAGACCCCAATAACGAGATGTCTCAAGCTTGTTTGTGTCACCACTCCTCCCACAAGGCCATAATGAACGTGTCCCTTTCTAACAGTGGAATTCAATATGCGGACAAGAGTGATGCCCTTATAAGTGTGCTGCTACTCCTTCCCTGTCCAATCAGCACGCTGGGGGTATATTCAGGTCCTGCTGTAGTGATGTAGCTGCAGTGCATGAAGTCTCAGACCTGGCTGTGCTGTCTGGCAAGAGTATCTAGATTGTAATAATGGCCACACAGAATTGCAAATCCTTTGGTCAGTAAAACATTCCCCTCTTATGTATTTCAACTGTGCATTCTGATGACTACTTGGAGTTCAGTTTTAAAACTCTGACTAAATTCTGAACACATTCTATCCCCAACAGAGACAGGCACACCTGACACTGGTCCAGAATATACAGTGGATCAAACATACAAATCTCTGTTGCTAATTACATTGCCATTTCTGAAAGCTTGGCAGATGCTCAGGGAAAGAGAATTATAAGATCTGAGAAGCTAAAAAGGTTGAACTAGAAAAACAAAATCTCCGATATCAACTTACAAAATACAATACAAAATATCTTCATAAAGTAGTTCTAAAGCAGGGGTGGCAAACTCAAATTCATCGAGGGCCGCATCAGCAGTATGGTTACCCTCAAAGGGCCGGTTGTATAGGACTATGCATCTACTCTTTATTATCATACATAGTTGCCTCTGCATTCAGTTGCTACTGGTTTTATAAACTGCGCGTAATTTATTTGTTTTGTAAAAATTATCTTTATTCAATTTTACATATTTTTAACAAATACAACACATAGGCAAACTCAAAACACCTACTAGGTAGGGGTTCATACTTCTGTTGCAAACAAAAATAAGAGAAAACACAATTTGAAAATACATTTTTTTTTAAAGCCTTTCACAAGGGTAAAACATGACCCCCCCTTCCCCTCCCTCCAAAAAACCCCCGTGCACCATCCAAGCCCTAGGTCAGAAGCGAATAAAATTCAGTACGGAGAACATGTGAAGAAGAGCCGCCGAGCACATACCTAATCAAATGAGGCGATGGTCATCCTAAGTACGATATATAAACAATAGGACACAGTGTATGAGAGGATCAATCCTATCAGTATGCTTGACTACCAGGGGACTAAGAGCCTAAAATGGTGATAGGCAGTGACGGGTGATTAGACAACCCTATCAAACCACACTAAGCCGTGGTGGCACGGGCATCAACCCAGTATCCCCAGACCTTGTCAAATTTCTTGGGGCATCCCCTTTTAAGGTACCGTATATACTCGAGTATAAGCCGAGATTTTCAGCCCATTTTTTTGGCTGAAAAGTGCCCCCCTCGGCTTATACTCGAGTCAGCGTCAGGTGTCTTCTTACTTACCTCGCCGAGCGTCAGTAAATATGCAAAGAGGAATTAACCAAGTGCCTCCAGTCCGAGACTGATGGGGGATCCCTATGCTTCCAACGCAACACCACCAACTTCCTTGCAGAGAATAGCAGCAGTGGAACGGAACGCCGGCAAAGTTTTGCCACGCGTCCGATCGCACTGGGGCGGGGCGTGGAAGCGGTGCCATTGAATTCAATGCACCCAATGCTCCCTCCCACCCCAGAACGCAGGAGGAGGTTTCTTAGTGATCACGGTGCGTTCCAGCAGCTACCGCTCTGGAACGCACCCGCTTTCGGTGTGAACAAGCCCTGAGGAAACGCTTCCTGCAGCAGACTGATATCATCGCAGCCTAGGCACTGTCACTTGACTGAGATCAAGGACTATATTTTCATGAAAAACGCTACATCTTTTAAAAGTTTCTGCATATTGGGACATGTACAAAATATATTTAGGCAGACTTGTAAATTGACTAAAAGGTCTATTTTAAATCATCCATTGGAAGCTACAAATAGGCCAGATTATGGCTCTATTCACACATAGCGATTCCCGAAAATGCTAAAAATTTAAATCCCCACGGATTACGCCCGTTTGCAGCTATTATATAGCTGCGAACGTGCAGAATCCGCCGTATTTTTGCACTTTCACTATTTTGGGGGCAGTGCGGTTTCGTACCGCACGGTCCCCGCAATAGCCTGTGCATTAAAGTGCATTGTTTTTTCTGTTTAGAGCAGCTCCATGTGTATTCGTACAGCCAAATATGCGCGGGCCGTGTGAATAGAGCCTATCTGTGTCTCCACTCCCCGTACATCCTCAGCCTTTTCCCTGCATGTTGCTAGGCAGAAAAACTTGAGCCCCAAGTGAATCATAGACCAGGCTGATTAGATATGTGTCTCTCCTCACTCCCTGAGAGTTTGGACAGCTGTTTTGTGGCAGAAAAAGCAACTTGCAGCTGTGATGTGGAACTTAACAAAAGGAGCGAGTCTGATAGCTTCAGAACATTCAAAGCTGCACAAACGTCTGGGCCAAGATCATGGAGCTTAGGAACAAAAATGCCTCCAGCATATCATGATCTTATATATTGTTACAGGTTCATCCAGTTGGCACTATATATTTTTTAATGTGGCGGTCACAGCATTTTTTTACGGCTTAAAAGCAATGCGGTATGATCTAGAATTCCCCTTTAGTAAGCGAATCAGTAATGAGAAGAAGGCGGCAGGAAGGTCGGCTGTACTGTGATGGGGAATTCAGATTCTCTCTTCAGTCCAGCTGTCATTTCTGTCATTAAAACTGTACCCGACAAGAACCATCTGGTCACAGCAGGAGGGAAGAGTTAATGTGGAAATATGTAATTTCAATCCCGATATTCCATCTGAAATTGAATTTCTTAACCAGTGATGCATTGCTCATGTTTGTAGTAACCTTGCTGCAGGCACGCCATCGTCATTGGCAGCAAACAGACTTTTACGGAAAAGTAAACAGGAAATTTGGTGGAAAGAGTGGAAAAATGTTAACTGTAGCTGATGTTTATTGCAGTTCTATTAAACAGCAACTTCAGGCAATGAGTAAAATACAAGACTTCATTGACAAATTTATAGTTCTGACATATTACTCGATATAGAACCAGTGGCGTAACCAGAGTTATGGGCGCCCGGGGCAGAATTTTTTTTCGCCCCCCCCATATTATATAAACATCCACTGGAACTGTACCCCCCCACATATATATCAGCTAAGGAACTACAAGTCCAAGCATGCCATCATTGTCCCTGTACATCCCCCCACATGCACACATATCACCCAGGGAACGGCAATATCTGGTTGTTGTACAGGGGCAATGAGGGCATGCTGGGACTTGTGGTTCCCTAGCTGATATGTTATGCAGCTGTATTCCACCTGAAAGTACTACAATGTCATTATAGAACTAAGAATAGAACATAAAATAAAACTTTTTTCTTCTTCTAATACTCACCTGATTGCTGGATCCACCAACAAGCGCGGCCTCCCGTCTCCCGCGCTGTTAGAAAGGTTGTTACGCCACTGTATAGAACCAATCTCTGCCCATTAGAAGACTGAAATCTTACGTCTACCTTATACAGGGGCACACCAACATTAGCACCAATTACCCTACCAATATGTTTTTTGGCTGAGGGAGAAAATCAAATCAAAAAGCAGACCTTCCGTTTGCCACAGAATGTCAGCTTTAAGAAGCAATAAGACATCTTGTGATAATATTTTGAGCAGCCCCCCTCCCCCCCCCCCCAACAAAATGGCCTATTTTTATATTATTAATATTGTCTATACATTCTATGGGATCCAAGGAAAGAAGCAGAATGCACTGGCTTCCATGGATCTCCATTTGCATACACAACCCTGTTTACTTACTGTTAATCAGTTTGGTGCAGCTCACACTACTGAATATTACTCATATCTGTAAACTAATATTAACCTGGAAGTTTGTCAGGGGAGAGATAAGAGGAAAACACGATCAGACCTTTGAGTCGCTGTGATAAATGGTATCCTGGAAAGCTTAGCATAATTATTCTTTCTTTCTTCCTTTGCAAATGCAAGTAGTGCCTTTCTGGATCGCTACTGTTCTGTCGATTTGTGCCAGGATATGTCTACCATATTCAATACACATGGATAGAGAAGGGACAATCATTATTATTTCAAATGTAATTAATGATACTTTGTTACCCTATAAAGCTGCAAGCATAGATATAAAGTGTTGGCACATAGAGGTGAGTGCACATGCCTGCGACAGTTCTACTAGTCTCTGTTTACTGCGAAATGCCAGGATATTCTGAATGATCTGTTAGACAGTTTTTTTCTGTGTGTGTTTCAGACCATACATATGGGGTGGTGTTCAGAAAAACACAGCCCAACAGACATGGTGTGCACAAGCCCTTAGATTTGCTATATTTTCATTATTAGATGAAGATATTTGGATATCAGCCCCTAGAGGGAGTGCTCAGTGGTTCATTGCTATTACTTTCTCATTATAGCTTCTTTCTTAACAACTATTGCAAAAAGATAACTGAGAGGCAGGAAGTGCATTATTTCCATCACAGAAGAACTTCAGCAAAAACTTCTATTAACCCTTGCAGTGAGGCTACTCCCACACTGCAAGGGTTAACTGCTCATTTTTGTCTATGTTAAAAAAAGTTATACTCACCTGAACCGTGGAGCCGGCTTGTTCTTCCAGCCTCTCTCCCCCTCCTCTGCATCAGTCTAGGGTCCCGTAAATCATCAACAAAGTGGATAGACATTAGGATGCTGAGGAACAGTTCAATGCTGCAGCGTAGGAGACAGGTCGGAGGGAGCGCTGTGACTGCTGGCCGGTTCGGAGCTTCAGGGTGAATATAAACTTTGTTATTTTTGAACCTAGACAAAAAGAGCTCTTAACCCTTGCAGTGCCGAGGTAGCACCACTAAAAGGGTTAATAAAACTTTCTTCCTGGAGTTCCTTTCAGTCGATATTTGCTTGATGAGAAGGAGCCGTAAAGAACAACCAGTTTGCAGCACAAATATGGAGCAAATATGACAACCAATGCAGACATACTGTACAATTATATATTATACACAGAAACAAGTGTTTTAAAACATAAATACATACTGATAAGATCATTTACATAAAGTGGATCTATTTTATGAACCCAATGAACAGACTATACATGCCGTCAAGAAGCAGATTTACCTAGTGAACAATGCAATTATATTGTGCGCTATATGTTAAAGCACCGGAGAAACGTGGTCAGACAAACAGAGAGAGCACAGCTCAGGCTGCTGAGTGATACTGATGTTTCCGTCAACAGTTATATCAACAAGTCCAAAAATAAAGCATAAGTGTATGTGTACAAAGCTCTGGGAAATCACCACCTGGTAGCCACACAGCTTAGAAAAAAAGGTAGAAAGCAGAAACCAGTTTAACATTTATTAAGGCTACAAATTTGGGAACAGCTTTAAGGTAGACCATAAAGATGCTTGGAATAAACAGTGAGCGCTCCATTAATAACAAAGAGTGGATATCGATATTCGCCCCATGTTATATACAGCAATGTTTGGCCACACTGCAGTCTGCTTTTTATGACCCATTTATAAAATCTAGGGCACAGTGTGGAGTCTGCAGTGTTTTGTCTGTGCTTTATAAATCAACTTATAAATGGACTTTTTAAAGCAGTGGTATGGCCATAGTAAGGTCTTACTGCTTAAATAGTTTAGCTTAAGTGAAATCTCAATGGTAAATGCTGTCATTCAGGCTGTTTATGAACAGTCCCAAAGGGCAAAATTTGTGTCACACTGGAACAAATGAAGGCCTCCTGGGCCTTCATATTGGTCCTTTAATGCAGACTTTGTCAACCAAGGTGCTGTGGCACACAGGTGTACCTTCTATATATCTGGCTTCCTCAGGAGTGCCTCAAGATTTTGTGGCAGTAGGATTGTGATAATGAAGGGGGGAATGAAGACTAATGTGAAGGGGGCTCCAGATGTAAAGGGGGGCTACTGATGCAAAGGGTGACTGATGTGAAGGGAGGGAAGTCTTGATTTAAAGGGGGCACTACGATGTGAAGGGGGACCCATTTTTTTGTGTGTTCTTGCAGGGGATCCCCCTTAAAATCTGACATTTTAGACTGGGGTTCCTCGAGATTTTGTATAGTTTTAAAGGGTGCCCTGACTAAATAAAACTTACTATCAGACAGACTTGACAGAGTCAGGTTCAACTTTCAAAGGAAATATTGAGATTTGTTTTTTTCAATACATCATATGGCACACACACGGCTTATGGTGCCGACGTCATTGGTGGGTTGACACACAAAATGTAGAGAAATTGCAGAGGAATGCACTGATGATGTCCGCTTTTAAGATGGAGGCATGGTTTTATGGTAGGGGGTGCAGAGGAAATTAGATAATCGCAGTGGGTGAGGCAAGCAATAATAGGTTATATGAATTTAGCTTTGCATATTGATTCCTGTAATGCTGGCACTTTCATATAAGTAGCAAGGCGGAGGTCTGCTTTTATACTTTGGTATTAACATTAATTGCTGATTATAAGGGCCAGAGCTGAAATTTAAAATAAAAAATTGCTCTGGCACACAAAAAAATCTATAAAAAATAATTCAAGGCAACTGGACTTGCTGTATTTTTTCTTGAAGACGTTTCACTGGTCATCCAACCAGCTTTCTCAATTCAGAATGACTTGCACATTTCTGAATTGAGAAAGCTGGTTGGATGACCAGTGAAACGTCTTCAAGAAAAAATACGGCAAGTCCAGTTGCTTTGACTGATTTTTTACAGATATACCATGACCTGGATGAATGAGAACCTTCACAGACATCTGGCACATAAAGGGTGTTGGAGCTGCAGTGGTTTATAATACCTCTACATTTTGTCTATTGCTTTATTGAATTATCTCCATGGTCACAGCGGCATAGACTTTCTATTATCATATAAATAACAGAAGAATTCATTCCTTCTATTCAGGGCAGAAAATACAAACTGAGAACTTGAGAATCCTTTCTTAATCGTAAGAAAAGGCTTGAAAATGATATTTATATATGCGAATAGGGGAGCTCACGGAGTACTAATAAGCAGGGGGATTAGGGGAGTTACATTATGTAAACGAATTCTACTCTTTTTGATAATAGCTAAAAGACAAATTAAGCGAATTATAGTTATCTGATGGGTCACTTTTTAATGCTTCATTATGCCGGCTGAGATTATTAATGCAAGAAGCATAACTGTTACCATGAGGAGGATAAGACGCTTCGTACACATGATACTTGTGATATAATCCTTCCTAAGACACAGGGTATAAACGGCTGCAAAAAGGCAATGCGCTAAGTTCTAACAAAACACTGCACAGGCAAAACCAGATAAGCTCTTCAAGGCCACAGACCCACGGTCTTGCACTTATTACAACTAACAAATCTGAAACAGCTGTATGCAGTTGGAAAATTGATCTACATATTAAGCTCTATCTGTGCTAAAAAACAGATATTTTAAGGTGCACAGGGCATAAATGAATGACTAACATGTCTCCATCCACAAATACCCTGGAATTCATAAAAGAGTGTCGTAGATTTGTGTGCTTGTTAGATACCAATACATGAATTGGTCGCATGTAGGCATGGTGGGGGGGCTAGCGATGAGGCTGGATTGTCCATACTGCACAGTTCGTAAATCAAAGGCTCAGCGCTAATGAGCTTCCTGACCAGCCACTGCACCTGTCACACAGACAGACGCAGTTGGTAAGGAGTTTTACTGATGGGTGAATGGAACCTGATGAGGAATCTGAGAGACTAGTTCCCCATTGGGGAACTACCAAGTGACTGACTTTGGCGCAGCACTTTCGAATGCCACAATACTGCCAGAAAAGTGCTGCAAATGCTTAGTTAAATTTCCCAAATTAACTCCATGATTTGATGTGAATAGGAATGCAGTGATATGTCCCTATCGAACAATAGCAAGCCTGATAGAGGTTTGTGAAATTCTGTCCCAAATCTCACTCAGCTGGAATAAGGGTGAACTGTGCTGCAGAGAAAATTATTTAAACGACTTCAGTGCTTTTATTGTGAACTTTGAAGATGACTTGCCCCACAGTGTCAGCAGCTACACAGGTCAATGAGGGCTTGTTTTAAAGAAGATCTTCAGGGAAAACGTTTATTAACCCTTTTTTAAGCACCTTGACAAAAACAAACCCTTTTTTTAAAGCACCTAGACAAAAACAAACAGTGCAGGGGTAGTTCCACTGCAAGGGTTATTAAAAAAATTTAATAACCTTTAAAGCTCATACAGTATATACACAAACATTGCTTAGCAAATAAACATTTAATACAGGGTGAACTTTTGACATTAGATTACCAGAGCACTCTGAGGATTCTAAAGAGTAAGCACAGCACAAGCTGTTTCCTTTCAAACATTCCGCCTTCAATTTAAGCCTCTGAGGGAGGCATATGAGGGAAGGGGATGGGGTAGGGAAGTTAGAGGGATGAGTAACTGCTATTACTAAATTTCAAATTGAGGTACCCAGCGCTATAATCAAAAGGCTTCTAACAACAGGGGGAACAGTAACAACATAAACTGCAAGGAGTATGTAGCTGGGCAAATGCGGTATACTTTTAGATGTATTCAGTATGCATTTGAGATCATTTTAAAGCAAATATGTGAATTACCCATTCAGGACAGAGCAATAGATTTGCTTAATATCCCCAATCTCAAATGCCCATGTAACAAAGCCCTTTAACATGCTAAAAAGGAGTCTAAAGCTCCTCACTTTGGCTATTTATGGGTATACAAATTATTCAGAAATAAGAAAATATGTACAAAACCACTATACATTCCTTTAACAGCAACACAACATAACTATCTGCTTTCATACCCCACGATTTTTAGCCACATTATTTGGTATGCACAGTGATAAAAAAAAAAACACACTTAGGAAAACTTAGTATAAACAGTTTTATCAAAGATAATGAAACATTTCAATCAGCCACTGAACAGATCTACATTTACTACTGTTCTGGACAACACCCCTGTTTCTTTAGTCTCTGGTCTATTTAATTCAACAGCAATATTTGAATAATAAAAATATTCCTACCTGTAACTATACAGTAATTAGGTGGTTCAAGTACAGCTCCATAAAACTGGATGATGTTTCTGTGGCTGAGCATGCTAAGGATTTCTGCCTGCAAAATAAAAGAATATAAAAAGAAGTGTGATGTTATACCCAAATACAAATGTATGATGATATTTGCCTAACCTTAGACCACTTTGAACTGATCTCCAAGAAAGGGTAAACACTTCCACTTTAAGCAACTGCTACGTTATTTTTACATGGTGCTCTTATCTTTTGTTCATCATCTGTGATATAGCCCATCTTTTTCCTTGCAGCTCTACCTGGTACAATAGTATGGAGGGCTTAAAACTTTGGAGAGAAAGAGAAGGAAAATGTCCCCTTACAGATGTTCTAACCTTTCCACTCTACTCAAACAAGGTGTCTTTATCGTTTGTGATTTTGAAATTTTCTATTCCAGTTTGGATTTTCCATCACCTACCATTTGAATCTTACGCTCCAAAGGCAACTTCTGATTGTGCATTTTTTTCATCAGATGTGCAATCTGAATTACCCATGTTTGTGACCAGTTTACAAAATAGTGTTTCTCAACAAAACTCTTTCAAGAGAAAAATAAAGAAACTGCACAAAGCTTAGAGTAAAATACTGTGCAGGCATAACTTCTAACGAGCCTTATTTTTGAGGAGATACTTTCTAGGACATTTTCACACCTACAGTGAGGCCGAATTCACAAAATTTTGACTGAAAGATGGTATTTTTGGCATTTTGCGCAAAGTACTATTTTCGGCAGATATGTTTAGGCGGGCAAAATTTCAGTGTATCCCTACTTTTAACACTCATCCTCCCTGTAACCCTAACACTAACCCTCCCTGTAACCCTAACACTAAACCTCCTGTAACCCTAACACTAATCTTCCCTGTAACCCTAAAAGTTTCCCTCCCTGTAACCTAACACTAACCCCCCTGTAATTCTAACACTTAACCTCCAAGGCCGAATTCACAAAATTTTGACTGAAAGATGGTATTTTTGGCATTTTGCGCAAAGTACTATTTTCGGCAGATATGTTTAGGCGGGCAAAATTTCAGTGTATCCCTACTTTTAACACTCATCCTCCCTGTAACCCTAACACTAACCCTCCCTGTAACCCTAACACTAAACCTCCTGTAACCCTAACACTAATCTTCCCTGTAACCCTAAAAGTTTCCCTCCCTGTAACCTAACACTAACCCCCCTGTAATTCTAACACTTAACCTCCTTGTAACTCTCACAGTAACCCTCCATGTAACCCTAAAACTAACCCCTCCCTGTTACCCTAAAAGTTTCCCTCCCTGTAACCTAACACTAACCCTCCCTGTAATTCTAACGCTTAACCTCCCTGTAACCCTAAACCTAATCCTTCCTGTAACCCAACACTAACCCTCCCTGTATTTCAAACACTTCACCTCCCTGTAACTCTCACAGTAACCATCCCTGTATCCTTCATACTAACCCTCCCTGTACTCTAAGGCCCGGTTCACACCTGGGCATTTTTTAGCGCGTTCCTACACTCTGCAAAACGCTCAAACACCGAAATCACATTATTTCCTATGGGTATGGTTCACACCTGGGCGTATTACAGGTCGTATGAACGCGCTACAAAACGCCCTGAGCCCAAAGAAGTACAGGAGCTTCTTTGGGGCGTATTTGCCGCGCATATCCATTGGGATACAGCCAGGTAGCCCTCGGAAACGCGCATTTGTCGCACAGTTTTTTACTGCGAATTGCGGTAAAAACGCTCGGCACGAAACGCGCGACAAACGCGCATATTCGAAACGCCTAGGTGTGAACCCAGCCTAAAACTAACCCCTTCCTGTAAACTAACACTAGTCCTTACTGTAATTCTAATACTAGCGCTCCCTGTAGCCTAAACCTAACCCTCCCTGTAATTTTAACACTAACACTCCTTGTAACACTAACACTATCTTAACCTTATGTAAACTTAATTCCTTGTTGACATATTTGCCTCTCCCACACTAGGATCCTCTACGCCACAGACCAGTGTTTCCTGCATTGAAAGATACCAGTGCCAAAGCACCTGCACCAGAATTCACTGATTAGGTAAAAACAAATGTAATTTGTAAAATTGCTGCAATGTGCAAATTAATCTCCCTACTAAACGGAAAACAGTTTGTGCCTCGTGCAACCTTTAAAAGTTTTCCAATAAAACGAGCACATTATATAATCAGATATTGCCCTGTTGTTTGCCCGGATTGTGAAGCTTTCACAGAGATACAAGCAGAGGCTGAAGAAGAGGAAATTATCTAACAAACCAGTGCTATGTTACATGTACATTAGCAACTTTGTGTGTGCATTTTCCATATCACCATGAATCAAACCCCAGGTGTCAGATGCTTCACGCCAGCTTTTAGAATCACTTCTAAAGTGCAGTGTATCCAAGGTGGCAGTGCTTTTCTGTGACCTCTCTCTTCCCATAGTTTATGTAGTTAGAAAAACCATTTCCTTTGATTGCAATCCTTCAAAACAGCAAAGTTGCTTTTTCTGATTTATGTCAGATCTTTTACTTTGTCTTTGATGTCACTGAAGAGGAGAAATGAGAGCTGCTAAGGCTCGGTTCACAAAACTACTTTAACATTTGTTGTCAGGATTGCACTTATGTTCTTCAAAGCTAGATATTGTCTCCTTTTATTGGGATTTTTTGCTTTCTACTGCAGGTGGAGCTTGCTAAAGAGGCTGGTTGATAATTATGTTACTTGTTGCCCCCCCAAAAAAAGTTGTGCAACAGCACAAAAGGCATAAAACAGTCATGGGGGCTTCAAGGAGCCGCACAGAACAACAATTATCGAAATATTGGTGGGCTAAAGTTTCCATTGTGCGTAAATTATCCAAAACTTACATAGATGTCTATTGATGCGACAATTCTAACTCAACAAGCTGTGTTCCTCAAATAAAAAGAATATAAGGGTGAGTACAAAAACTATATTTTCTAGGTCATACATTGGGGGGACACAGATGGTGATCCATAGACCATTAGTCCAGTGGGACGTTAACAAGCAGTGTCCAATTGAGAATTTAACAAAACACACCAAGCAACAAAAAAACAAATTTAACCAAAGAGGTAAGTGACAGACATCCTTCCTCCTCTTCCTTCTAAAAGTTGTGGGGTCAGGTTACTAGATGGAGCCGTTTCCTTAGTTGCTTTTTCCTTGAACCCAACGTCCACTCCTTGCAGATGACATTTATCAAGGACACTATGGGGAGTCTATATAAAACAGTTGCACAGCCATTCACTCTGCGAATATCTGACTTGTACATTCACACCGCACTATAGCCACTAGAGGATGCCAAGGAACATAGGTAATTCCTATGCTCCTCAGCTCCGTCTGGTGACCATAAGGCATTGCAAACATTTTATAAATACACCCCTAGGTGCATGACTATGCCTATACTATGCATGTTTAGGTGTCTTTGCTCCAGGTGCTCCAGTGACCTCCTACAATGCACATCCAAAGCGGCTTTCTATAGCATGAAAGCTGTAAAGCCATTACACTGTCAGGGAAGAATGAGACTTGCTCAGTGTCCTCTGGAAAGCTAGACAATTAAAACACATTCAAACAATGCAAACAATATATTTTAGCGTATGTAATTCCCACAATATTTTCGTCTTTATTTGTCTATACTTTTGATGTTATTCTAGTATAGTTTATGTTTTATTGTAATGTCTATTTGAAAATAATAAAATAATTTGTGGGAAAAAAACAAAAAACAATGCAAACACTATATACGGTATGTGTTTATGAGTGTATATGAGAGGTACTCAATAGGGAAGCACCGAAATTTCTGCCGAAAATGGAACTATTACCAAAATGCAGATAGTACAAAAACGGCTGAAAATACGCTGCATCCCCTGCTTCTGGGTGGCGGCTGCAAGCTTTGCTCTGTGTCCTCTCCGATCCATGCTGCTCTTCCCGTGTTGGCAGGGGATGCGGGGATCGGAGGGGACACAGAGGGACACCCTTCAAATAATAAATAAAAATAAGATAATTTTAAAAAGGTTGGAAAAACCCTTTTGGGGTCGGCCTGAAATTGTGGTTTCAGTCTACAAATTTAATTTCAGTGTATCCCTAATACTCAACCTGCAAGAACTACAAATGTAAGTCTGATTTTTGGTCCCAAGTTCATTACACACGTATACATACGCACACAAGATTAGATTGGTGCTTGTGGTGGGTATTGATAACATAAGTGAACAATGTCACTGACATTGTTCACCAGCATTACACAGAAGAATGCAGGGGGCGTGACTCAACTAGGGCTGCAACAACTAATCGACATAATCGATTATAATCGATTATTGAAAAAGTTGTCAACTTTTTAAATAATCGATTAATCGGCTTCTGATTGGTTGGCCCTGTTCAACACAGACTTTCAGAAATATTTGCATTCTGAGAGTGGGAAGCTAACAATGCTCTCTGGAGACTCAAATTAATTAATGGAAGTTGTTTACTAGAACCCAATGGTAGTAGCACTTGCATGGGTATGTTGGTTTAAACATACTGTTGTCAAGGTTTACTTTAATAGCAATAGTGACCAGGCATTTTTTCACATTCATAAATCACATTTGCTGGCAGCCATCGTACAGATGTACTAAATTTAGAACAAAGACATTGGATTTCCACATATTCAAAATTCAGGAAGGATTTGCCAAAACGTACTGCAATGCAGTTGGGTCTGAGACACTGAAATAGAGTCCCTTGGAACATCATCCCCCTCAGATCTTAACTTACAAATGCTATTAACTTCAAATGCCTGACATCAGAGACTGTAAGATAATCTTAGTTTTTCATGAGAAAAATAGAAATCTCTGGAAAAAAACTTCCCACCCGATAGCCATAATCGGCATCCTGAACCAATGACAAACCTTAACAAACTTTTTTTATGTCCATAAGTAAGAGCCCTAAAACCTGCGAGCACTCCCTTGTTGAATGAGCCTGATGGTGTCTATGCTAAGTCAAGCAGTTGTCAGAGGACATTATTTGTGTCACAAGTATTATCTACTTAGAGGAAAAGTAAGAAGCTCAGAATTCCATGCAGAACTGCAACATTTCTTAGACT